GGGAGGCCCGCCAAGCCGCGAGGGGCCGCGGGCGGCGGGTGAGGGCGGCAGCTCTGGCGGAGCGGCGGCGCACGGCGCCCGGCGCGGAGAGCAGCTGGTGTTCGCTGTAACAAACAACTTGCCACTCAAACACCGGCCCGCTGGGCATGCGCGGCCGTGGCGGGGCGTGCCGGGACTTGTAGTCGCGCTCCGCCTGGCGCTGCCTGCTGCTTACATCAGGGGTGGGCGGCCGCGCGAGTGGTCGGCCTGGTGCACCAGAAAGGCATGAGTGAGGGTCCCCGCGGGTCACTGGGGAGGCGGAGGGCAGAAATGAGGGCTTTTGAGCCAGCCTGAGCCTAGGTGCAAACTCTGTCTTAGAGCTCTGGACAGGGAGCTTTGGGGTGCAAAGTGAGTAGCCAATACAACTCCAGCGCTGGAGGAGGCCCAAATCTGGGAGGCAAGAGATTTGGTGAAATCAGTAATTACAGTGCAGAGAAGCAAAACAGAGAGGGGTGCTGGAAACAGTGATAGGGTCGTGGGTTCTAAAAAGTTTTCCTGGAGGAAGGGACATCCAGGCTGGGTTCTGAAGGATGAATGGGAGCTCGCTGAGGAGCGGGGCGGGGACGCGCAGGGTTGGAGGCCAGGGACCTTCCAGGCAGAAGGAACAGCGTGTCCAAAGGCACAGAAGCGTGAAAGCCTTCGCGGTGCTGTGTTTGGCTTTGTTGGAGCGGAAAATGTGAGGGAGGAGAGGCAGAGATAAGGCAGGCGCAGTCACCAGGAGTCCGGTCGAGAGGGGTCATGTGTGCAAAGCTAATGAGGGGGCTGTTTATCCCGAGGGAAGGGGAGGGGGGGTGGGCACTGCGAAGGCCGAATTGTGGAAAAGTCTGAAATACGTTTGAAGGGCTTCCCATCCCAGGGCCAATGTGCCAATAACCATATCCCAAGATTGGCTGACCGGTTTTGAAAATTTCCAGGTTAAAGTTACTTTGGCATATTAATTTAAGGATATGATGGGTCAGGTCTACCTGCTGGGGCAAGTTGGGAACTCTCTTTTTGAGGGAAATTCTGCCTGTGCTCCTTCATACTCTCAGTCTTTCTCTGTTAGGTGGGAACATAATAGGCTCCCTCATTTCCACAAAAGGGTGTGAAGGTTGCAATCTGGTAGCTCTTAGAGCATGCTGATCCTCTTCTTTTATTACATTAAAGGATTTATTATCCTCTAATAAAGAATATATTTACTTTTTAGAAACTTGTCTGCCTTCCTCTTCTAGAATCTCAACTCTGTGAAGGCAATGATTTTTTCGTCTGTTCCCTGCTGTATCCCCAGTACCTGCAATGTGACTGGCATGTGGGAAACAGGCATTCAATATTAATAGAATGCATAAATGCATATATCTATTAATTTAGAATCTAGAGATCTAGAAGTCCCAAACAAAAAAGGATTCAGGGGCCAGGCAAGTAGCATAAAAGTGTGAAGCAGAATGGTATCAGTCAGAAATGGTACAATAGAAAGGAGGCCTTCCTGAAGGTATAAAATTCAATTTTTAAATAAACATCCAACAGGTGAAACCAAACAAACAAGGCTAAAGGCAGGAATTGGCCAGTTTTCTGTCTTCCACTCTACATGGCCAGGTCAGTATTTTTCAATCTGTACGGCATAACCCGTGAGTTCATGGTGAAATCAATTTAGCAGGGCATGACTAGCATTAAAAACAAAAAACAAAAACCCCAGAATGGCACAGAGCTTTGCACATAGTAATGGTAAGTTACTATTATTTTTTTTCTGTTTCAGGAAACTTTCATTTTGGCCATGCGTGTACATGTGTGCATGTGTGGATGTGTGTGTGCGTGTATGTGCATGCATACTGGATCTAAATGTCAAGGTATTTCTTACTGTGGGTCTTGGTCAAAAACATTGGGAAACTCTGTGGTCTTTCTATTTAATTAAGCCAGACCATCGTAAAGTTTGCAAATTTGGGCCCTTTTGGTTTGACCTGCAGAATTGCTTTCATAGAGTTGTATTTGGTGCTCAAAATTTTTATGAAACTGATTACTGAAATTAATGTTGGGATGTTAAAGAAACTGGCCTCTGGGTCACCAAATCCAAATGATGGTTTCAGCCCAAGATTAGGGTGAGACATTTACTCAAGATCATGCAAGCGCTTGCTTGGCACTTTCCTGGTAGAATTCATTCCCTTCTTGATTCCTGCACTCTTCTGGTCTTTCTCTGGTTCTTCTGGGTTTTCATCTTTGGTTTCTTCTCTGCTCAACCCTAAAATGAGTGGAGGCCCACTTGATGATCTTTCCTGTAGTGTATTTTATAGTAATAGCTGCCAGTGAATCATGCCTTCTGATAAGACATCCCATTTTGACTTTGGGTTTGGCCATGTGACTTTCTTTAGCCAATGAGATATCAGCAAATGTGCTTGCTAAGTCCTATGCATCGAGACTTGTCCACTTAGAATGCTGCCCTGAGATCATCATACTGTAAAGAAGCCCAGATAAAAGACCACTTGGAGACAGAGGTCCAAATGTTCCTGCTGTTCCAGCTGAGCCCAGCCCGCTGCTGACAGCTGGCACCAACTACCAGACATGTAAGCCAGACCATCTCAGACCTTCCAGCTCACTGTCCATCTACGTGCAGTGACATGAGTGAGCCAGGTGAAACTAGAAGAGTAACTACCCAGCCAGTTTATATAAACAAAAATAATAAATCATTGTTTTTAGCCACTAACATTTGGATTGGGTTATTATTCAGCAATAAATACCTGATACATTCCCTTTATCTTCACCTTCTCTCACTCAATGGGTGTACCTAGTCTCTGGCTTCTAATATGTCGATGGCCCCCAAATCGACAGTTCTAGCTCAGAACATATTTCTGAGGCCCTGATTCACATATTTAACTTCCTAGTGGTTAGCTGTGTTCACCTAAATGTTCACAAGTTTGGCCAACCCAACCTGGTTAAATCTCATCATCTAGCTCACATCGGATCACCTCCACTTCCTCCTATAATCCCTGTCTTGGTTAGCGACACCATTCTTAATCCCTCAAATTACCAACCTGGTATTGACACATTGTATTTTCCAAGATGGCCATGACAAGATCTGTTCTACATGCTTTTCTTGCAACATGATATTGATAATCATCCCACTAGGAGATGGGAATATGTTCCCCCCTCTTGAATCTGGGTAGGCTTGTGACTACAGAGGAAACGACCCCACCTGATTTCTGAAACTAGGTCATAACAGGTAACATGGCTTCCACGTGGTCCTCTTGAGACATTCATCTTGGAGCGCAGCTGCCATGCTGTGAGGAAGCATGAGCCACAGGAAAGAATACAGGTGGGCATTTGCATTAGTTTGCTAGAGCTGCATTACAAACTACCATAACTGGGGGACTTAAACAATTGAAATTTATTTTCTCATAATTCCAGAGGCTAGAAGTCCAACATCAAGGTGTTGACAGGGTTGGTTCCTCCTGAAGTCTCTCTCCTAGGCTTGTAGGTGGCCACCTACTCCCTGTGTCTCACATGTTCTTCGTGTATATGCATAACCTCTATGCATATCTGTGTCCTCATCTCCTCTTCTTAATAAGGACACCAGTCCTATTGGATTAGGGCCCCTCCTAATGCTCTCATTTTAACTCAATTATCTTTTTAAATCACTTTCTTAGGTACCAGGGGTTAAGGCTTCAAGATATAAATTTAAGGGGCAGTGGACACAATTTGGTTCATAACAGTATTCCATCCAACAGCCCCAGCTGAGGTTCTACTGACAGCCAGCATCACCAGCAGGCATGTGGTGAGTAAGCCTTTGTCACAGACATGAGAGGAGTGCTGAACAGAAACCACTCTGCTGAGCTTAGTCGGCCTCTAGAACCATGAGAAATAATAATAAAACATTGACAGTTTTAAGCCACTACATTTTGGGCTGGTTGCTAAGCAGCAAAAGATAACTGGAATATCCTGGAATCAATGTAGTGGTGGTGGCTGGGGGAGGCTGACCAGGGCATCATACTAGGTTGACCAGGGAATTATTGCTACCTCTTTCTTTCTGCCCTCTCCCCCCATATCTAATCAATCGATCATCAAGTCTCAATGATTTTATGTATTGCACACCTCTATAATCCATTTCTCTCTCCATTTTGATCATCATGATCCCATGTCAGGACATAACTCCCTTGTCTCAAATGGTTACAGGGGCCTCCTAACACCCATTCCATCTTCCTCATGTTGCCAGGATAGTTGTTCAATGTTGTGGCCTTATTTTCATTACTCCTCTAGTTAATGTCCTTTAGGGACCATAAAGAAACTAGTCCTCTTAAGAAACCAGATCCTCCATGGCTGGTCATATGTAAAAGGGAAGGGGCTTCCTGGATGCTAGATCCGAAACGGTAGCCTTTTAGCCAAACATGGCCATTGAGCACTTGAAATGTGAAAAACTTAAGTTTTAATTTTACTTTAATTAAATTTAAAAACTGATATTTGATTCAGTTATTAGAAACTGTTCAAGTATGTTTGGAATAGGGTGACCAACTATCCTGGTTCTACAACTGAGGTTTTAAAACCAGGACCTGGGTAAATTGGGATGAGTTGGTCCCACTACATTGAAACAACTTAGTTATGGAAATCTATGAAACCTAAGTATAGATCAAGTATTGTGGATGAAAATAAAGCATTCGAATGGCAATGAGCTAAAAATGTCAAATATACCCTGGCTTTCAAAGACTTGGTATGGAAAAAAGAATGTAAAATATCTCATTAATATCTCAATTTTTTATTTTGATTACATGTTGAAATGCTCATATTTTGGATATTAATATATTATTAAAATCAAGTTCATTTTTTTTTAATTTTTAAAATTCAAAATGACATGGC